TCTTTTTCATTCTGATCAAAGGAACAATCCACCAAGAGGACACTACATTCTTAAACATATATGCACCAAACTCAGGTGCAGCCAGTTTCATAAAACAAATACTACTAGGCAGTATACTACATATTAACCTCAATACAAAAATATTAAGTAACATCAGCACTCTACTTTCACTAATTGACAAGTCATCCAGACAAGATTTAAAAAGAGAAGCATCATAGTAAATGACATCAGGAATTAAATGTACCTAATGAATACCTCTAGAATATTTTATCTAAACACTACAGAGTACACATTCTTCTAAGTAATTCATGAAAATTTCTCTAAAAAACAGACCATATATTGCGACACAAAGTAAATTTCAACAAATGGAGGAAAATTGTAATAATTTCTTGTATCCAATCTGGCCACAATGGAATAAATATCCAAGTCAACACCAAAATAATCTTTAAAAAGACACAAACTCATGGAGATTAAGCAATACACTATTGAAATATGAATGAGTCATTACAGAAATAAAGGAGGGAGGGGATATCATTTGAACACAGTGGGTCAAAACCATGATGGGGAAACCCACAAAGACAGCTCACCAGATCTAGTGGAGGCTCATGGACTATGGACTGAGAGCTGGGAACCTGCATGGGACCAAACTAATCCCTCAGAATGTGGGTGACAGTTATGTTACTTATCTGTTGGTGGGGGCTCTGGCAGTGGTACCAGGTCCCAACCCAGGGGCATGAACTGGCTTTTTGGAGCCCATTCCCTATGATGGGATACAGTGGGTGGGATGCTCCTACCACAACTTTGTATGCCAGGCTTTGTTGACTTCCCAAGGAAGGCCTTACCCCCTGTGTGGAGTGGATAGAGGGAGTAGGAAGGGATGCAATGGGGGAGATTGGTGGGAGAAGGGGAAAGAGGGGCAAACTGGAGTTGGTGTGTAAAATGAAAAAAATTAAATAAAAAATAATTACTCACAGTAACAGTATTAATTAAACATATGCAATGTGCTGGACACTGTTCCCCCTTCTCACTTAAAACTCTGTATGGTCAAAACTGCACTTTAAGTACCATTTTACAGAAGAATAAATAGAGTTTCAAAAGAAAAAAAGAAATAAAGGCACAGAGAAATTAATATGGAACTGAGATGGAAGTTTTTCTCCCTGCTACTTAAGTTTCATACATCTAGAACGTATTGTGTAGGCTGTCAGGGTGTGTGAGAGGGTAGGGGGATGAAAAGCACCAGTAGTTGTAAACTCTACAAACTAGTTATAAACTTTATAAACTACAGTACCTGTCTGTCAGGCAAGATGTGTCTAATTATGCAATAGTGGCATTACTATTATGGGAGTAACCAACTGCTTTCTGATTGGAGTTGACTGGAAGGATTCCATTTTTGGTATTGCATATCTGAGTAAAAATAAAAATTCCATGTGTTGAGACTAATCTAACAATGTTGCTTGGCTAACTAGTTACAGTGTCAAATTACCATCTAATTATTCATGTCTACAGACAGAGATGAATGTGTCTCTCAATCAGAGAAACATATCTTTAATGAAAAGCAGTGAATGCAGAGTCATATATGACTGATGAAGAAGCTGAGAATGAATGAAAAGCTGAATGAAAGTTGAATGCTTAGCCATAAACAAGACATTTATAACACCTTCTCTAAGGCCCAAGGAACATTGTTGAGGAAGATATGGAAAGAATGTAAGAGCTGGAAGATAATTCTGAAGAAGGGCCAGAGAGTGTTACAATACAGCCATTCTGATAATGAGCTCAATGCAACTGTGCTTACTTATATTGTATCTGCATAAAAGTTGACCTGTCAAAATCAATCATGAATGAAGGAGGGACTTAGGGTCCTGTTCACTCTACTGAAATAGCATTCACTGATAGATTGTGGAAGCAACTGCCATCAGTTGCGTTACTACTGTGGCCCTACAAGGATCTATACAGCTCTGAGCAGAGTCACACAGATGACTCTGGCTATACACACACCAGGTCTCAAAACAATCATAAATTGATAAAGGGATTTATAGAAAGAAGACGAGATTACAAGTGAGGGTAAGCATAGAGAATAATCGATGTATTGTACCCATGCACAGAATGCTCAAAATAAAAATGTAATAAATTTAAAAATGTAATAAAACCATTAAAAATCAAATTTTAGGAGCTGAAGACAGCTCATCTTTTGCTGTGCAAACATGAAGACTTGAATCCAATTTCTTGCATTCCACATAAAAAAATCTATGCATAGTGGAAGGCAATTGTACTGCCATTGCTAAGGAAGCAGAGAGAGTTGGTGGCCTAGGGATCATTAGATACAATCTTAGTCTAATTTTCAAGCTCCAGGCCAGTGAGAGACTCCGTGCAAAAAACCAAGGTGGATAGCTCCTGAGAAACACCCAAGATTGGCCTTTGGCCTCCCCTATGCACACAGAAAAACAAACAAACAAAAAACAAAGAAAAATCCACCAAACAAAACGTCAAACTTTATGGAAAGGAAAAATATGTAATTTGGAAAGTTAAATATTATAAACCATATTTCAAGACCCTCTAATTTTAAGAGAAACAATAACATAGAACTCCTAGAATAGAAATGCTGATGGACTGAAGAGATGTTTCAGAGATTAAGAGGACTAGCTGCTCTTCCAGAAGACCTTAGTTCAACTCCAAGCACACACATGACAGCTCACAACAGTATGTAACTCCAGTTCTATGAAAATTGATGATGTCTTCTGGACTCCATACGTATCAGACACTTAAATCATGCACATATATACATATAGTAAAAAGACCAATGCACATGGAGTCATAAAGTAAATGAAAATAGTAATGCTATCAAGTTATGAAAGCATGAAAAGTTTGTTATTTTGGTAGTAAAAATTACAAATATAAAAATCCATATGGTGTACTACCTGAGGCTCAAGCAAGTCAGAATTTTAGTCAGCTGTTGACATATCACCTGTTTTTTTAAGATTATCTAACAAATATTCTCTCTTCTCTTTTAGTTTTATTTTTTAGTCCCCATGATCAAATCCAGATCCTTGCATATGCTAAGGGAATGCTCTACACTCCCACCTTTAATATTGTGTAATTGTGTCTCCTTATCTGTCATGGTAACTGTTTTGGTAATAGACAAGACTCATTTTGAATTTTCTATAATACACTGGCCTCAAACTTCAGATTCTCTTGCATATATCACTGCACCAGTTAAAACTTCTCTATCATGGAGAAATACTGGTGATTCATGGGAAGATTTTAGTATTTAAGATTTTGTGGCACATGAAAAATACTGTTAAAACCTATTGTCATTGTACCTCCTCTTGATCACCACACCCTAGTCACAGTCTTCCTGTGTTTATCAAACTGTTTGACTCAGAGACTTTGGAATTTCTTTTCCAATTGGCAAGAATTCTCTTTTCTAAATGCACTTATCTCTTGCTGACTTCTTTTCCTCCATGCTCAAATTAACAGCTCTGTTTATGTCTATTTATTTATCCTGAATTACTTTTCTTCCTGGGTCTGGAAATATAAAAACTCTTGCCCTTTTAGGAGAGAACTGACTGACAACTTGTCATCCCAATAGGTGACAGTTAAAGCCAGCATTAAACTTATTTAATCAAACAAAAACTGATTTTTGCAAAAGTATGAACATCTGCAAGACAATGTGAGATACCATTCATAAAATTACTGAACATCAGATACTGCACACCAGATGCAAATCAATTAAGACATTTCTTTTGTTTTCATTTGTGGGTATGAGGTTGAGACGGGGAATGATTTTGCAGCCTAGTATGCTCTTGAACTCAGATGGTAGTTTGAATGAGTATCTCTCACAGGCTCATGTATTTGAACATTTGGTTCCCATTTGATGCCCTGTTTGGAGATGTTCAGGAGTTGGAACCTGGCTGGAGGGCTTTGGAAGCATATGGGCAAGCAGGCTATAGGAATCAGGAGTGGTACTCAGCATCATGTTAGCTCTGAATCAATTGTATTTACTGTGCTTTCTTCACTCTGCACTGAAGCATGGATTCAGGTCTGACTCTCTTGTTTTTGTTTGTTTGTTTTCAATTCCAGAGCTGTCAATTTTTCATTTTGAAGTTTCAGATCTTTTAACTGGCAGAAACTTCATAGCAGTTAGCTAAAACCCTGGTTGATAAGGCTGCTTTTGCTAATTTAGAGTCTATTTGTATGGCTATTTAAATCTCTGGAATGAGTCTGCTCAGTGCTTTGTTAATTGCCTTACAGAATATAACTGTGCCTCTGCTACTTCAAGAAATAGAAGCTATCTATCTTCCCCCGGATCTTTCCACGTATTATTTACTTAATCTCCAACTTTTCCGATATAAATAAAACATTTTTACTGCAATAAGAAAATTAACGGAGTCTGGAATGTATGAGATTCTCTCTCAAAAATGTGAAAAATGCACTATAAAATAATGCTTATACTTTAATTTGTTAAGACTACATGAGAAAATTTTAAAAAGAAATAAAATTAAGAAAGTGAAAAAGAACTACTTTTGAAAAGATAGTTTAGCAATTCAAGCCTTTTGATTAGTAACCACCCTTAGTAGCAGAGACACTTCAAAGTGTTCTCTAAACATTGAATCCCCATCAGTGATGCTGCAAGCCTTAGCTCTCATCTTTCATGCTCACCATTGCAGTAACTTCAAAAGGATGAAAAGAGAATGGTAATCTCCCAAAGTAACCTTGTACTCATGCTAGTAATTGCGTATTTAGCTATCGTGCATTCACAACCAGGTAATTGTCTCATTACACTGTGTTTTAATAAATATAATAATTAACATTTAGTTATAAAAATTCAAATGCTCAGACCATTTAGAAATTAAATTCAGAGCCCATGGGATATCTAGGAGAAAATGAAAACGAATTAGATAGTGTCAAACATAGACATCTTCAAAGGAAGGAGATCATTTAAACTTGCCTTTTACTTACTGAATTGCGTTCTGCATATTTTATTGTTTTCGTCACCGTGCTTGTTATAATCCAGCAAGTGAATGTTCAAAGAACATAAAATCCTACAAATAAATAGAGTGAATATGAACGAATTGATAAAAGAGGCAACAATTAGGATCAAGAGCTTGACATGCCAGCTTTGATTATGTGAAGCAATGATGTTCCTAGCTGTGTCTCGGTAATGCATAATTTATTGGAAGAATAAAAACTATAATGTTTTAAGGTTCATGATTCTCACATGTTGAATGAATTTTCATTATGTAAGGAATTTAAACCCTTATCTAAACAATCCCAACATCATCAATCAAAATTTTGGACTTGACCAAGATTGTAAAATTCAGTTGTAAACATGATTAGGCAGAGGAAGAAATGATAACAGGAATCACCTTTCAAGTGTTTGTAATCTACCTTAGAGATACATTTGAGAAGCTGTCTCAAAACATATATTGGCAAAATTGCAAAGGCATCATAAGGTTATGATTTAACAAGTGGATGAGAGTTCTTTCTATTGTCAGTTAAGTAAGTATGTATCTCTCTTAGTTTCTGGAGTATTACCCATTTAACTGGGAAACTATCTACTTCAGTCTTCATTTGAGTTTATTGAACACAGAGGACTCATTAGACATCAGATTCAAGCACTGGCCCTGGCTCACCCAGGGAAAGCTGAGAGTCTACAAGCTTTCATGGCATGAAGAGATTGTATGATGTACTACATATGGAGTGGGATCTAAACAATCTGCCTATATCACATTAATCTCTCAAAGAAAGTGAGCCAATGACAGGAAACACACTTGCCAAAGCAAAAATATTCAGGCTTTGGAAAATGAACAACAAGAAAAATCAGTAAGGTTTAAGATCTAGAAAACATCTACTGTTTACCAGGACTGCTTTGTCACCAGCCTGTCTGCAAAGTAGGTTAATAGAGAATATCGAAGAACCACTGTTTTTAATATGAAATTAAGTGAACAGTTTTATCAGAAAGAGCTAATGAACAGTCAAGAGGAAGGGTATGTGAAGGTGTGTTTGTGTAAGGATGTGTTTTTCTATGTGTGTATATGTACAAGAGTATGTCTCTGTGTGTACTTGTGTGTGTGTGTGTGTGTGTGTGTGTGTGTGTGTGGAATGGTTAATGATGAAGTGTGGAATGACCAAAATCAGGAAGGGTAAACAGGAAGTGATGAAGTTCTATGAATGAATACTTTGGTGACAGGGAAAATTAATTGGAATAACTTTGATTTGTAGATAAATATAGGGACCAATTATTAACGATTAGTTAAGCCGATTTCTCAAAAGATTTTGAAGAAATAATTCTGATATACACCCCTCTCCATTTTCCTATTTTATACTTAATTCCCTGTGCCCATCAAAGGTAAAACTATGGAATTATTTTGAGTTATTGTGTTTTATAAGTGTCTTTAGCAGAGACACAATAAATGGGTTGAGTTTATTCAACAGCAGCATAGATGATGTCATCATTAAATCTGAGATTTTAAATTCTGAGTAACAATAAAAGGAAAAGGAAAAATGGCTTATTTGAAAAAAAAGAAACCCATAGTTTTCTGTGAGTTTAAAATGATTATAATGAGGGAGACCCAAGAAAGGAGCTAGTCAAGCATTTTGGCAAAGGTGTTACTTGTCTCCTGTGATGCTAGCCTGAGTGAAATATAAACCTCTAAATTCTCATTTTCAAAGGATGATGATCCTAACTTAAACTACCTTTTTTGTGTAAAGCCCATTTCATAGGTCAAGACTGTGTGGAGGAGGAAGACCCTATAGAGTCTGGCATGTAAGGATAGAAGTCATCCATGCAGCTTAGACCAAACTTACAAAGAGAAAGCAAGCACCAATCATTGCTGCTTTGAGTGTCACATCGAGGTCTGCAGAAACATGTATCCCAAAGTTGTCCGCATTGGTGAATACATCATTGACAAATCCGGACCAGTACTTGGAAATCTTCCCAATTATAAACTTTTCATCAACAGTTTTCACCTTGGAAAAGAAAACTAAGAGGTATGAGATTTGCAGATAAAAATAGAGTAGCTGACATTTCTCAGTGTGTTGCCTTCCCGATGAATTTGAGCCACTGTATTATTCGCCACCCCCAAAAGGCAGCTCTATGTTGTTTGTGCCTGTGTACCAGCACAGGTGTGGATATTTACCTCCACAGTGCTCCAGAATTTCAGACTGCCAGTTTATAGACCATTATAATTTGTCTTCCTTTTCATTTTCTATGCAGATGGAGTAAATAATTAAGTCGAGACAACCACAAGATGGCAGCAGGTACATCTCTTCGTTATGTAGCTAAGTATGAAGGTACACATGTTCAGATTTTAATCCTGATTTTGCCATCATAAAATATGTTTATGGACAATATATATACTGTGTGTGCATGTGTATGTGTATTAAAATAGTATTAAAATACTATTTGGCTGAATTAAATTATTTTCTAGGTGTAATTCATAAACATTAAAAATTTACCAACTATGTAATTATTAAAGCTTTTAAACATACATAATACATTGTCAAAATACACTCTTATGTTACACTCAGCCATTTGTAAACAGATTCCCTTCTAACCAATCTTAAGTAAAAGACATCACTTTGAGCTGGTGATGACTTAAACAGGAGAATGAGATGAGTCTGACGTTGAAGTCTACCACACCCACTGCTACATCTGACTCTAGCAACTATTTATTTCTTTATCCTGTTTGCCAGCTGGAACTGACACATTTAATATGGAGCTTCTCTTTCCCTGTGATGATAAAAAATAGAAAATAGGGAAGGTTTCTTAGGCTATAGCTATAGCATGGAAACTAAGCCCTGCTGTTTAAATTCTCCTCAATCATACTATTAAGAAGCCATGTAGCCAGGCAGTGGTGGTACATCCATTTAATCCTAGCACTTAGGAGGCAGAGCTATGTGGATCTCTGTGAGTTCTAGACCAGCCTGGTCTACAGAGCTAGTTCTGTGACATCCAGGGCTATACCAAGAAACCCTGTATTAAACACAAAAAACAAAACAAAACAACAACAACAACAAAACAAACAAAAAGGCATGTCACACCCTTCACAATTCTGGGCCTAGGACAAATCACATAACAAAGTCTGTGTTCTCGGTGTGTGTAGGCCCCTGAATAAGTCTGGAAGACAGACCTAGGTAGGATACAAATAAACAATGAAAAGAAGATGCTTTAAAAGCTAATGGTTTTCTCGAACCCTGCCTATAATGTGTATTCACAATAATCTGTTAAGAGACCGTATGTTATGTTGTTGTGGGTTAAATTAGCAATGTCCCATTTTGATATTTCATTCCAGAAATCTGAGAACACATTATTGTACAATGTTACAAATATAGATTTATATAGTGTCATTCTAGTGGAGTGTGCTTCTGAAATGAGACCTGATAGGGTTAAATGTCCATCAAGCAGATCAACAGGACAGGGCAGAGATAAATTTGGTGGTCAAAATACTCTACTTACTCTGACTATGAATCAATCTCACCAAATATAGGGTTAACATGTTTAACAATCACGACATATTAGTTATCTAAAATCATAATACTGTCTGTCTATCTATCTATCTATCTATCTATCTATCTATCTATCTATCTATCTATAATCTTGATGTCTAAAGCTTCAGATGTTAAAGTTAAAAATAACAAGACATTTACTATTTTAGATAAGGAAGCACAGTAGTTTATCTACTGTATTTTGCAAATATGTCAACAATTTTAATTTTACAATTCACATTTTCATATGTTAAAGTTTCTTTGAATAATGTGTAGTGGTCTATGACAAATAAAATGGCTAAGGACAGTAGTACATCGTCATTGCATTATTTTTACTAAAAGCTCATGGGCTTAGACTCTCTGGAGTAATGGTTGTTATTATTAATATGGAAACATGATTTATTAGAGTAGTACACTAATATGCAATTCTTGAAATATTTTTAAGGGATAAATTTTAAGGGATAAATCATGATTTGGATTTTTTAATTGAAGATTTTTTAAATGTATATTGGATTTTGCCTGCATGTATGTCTGGGTGAGAATGCCAGACCCCCTGGAACTAAAGTTACAGACAGTTATAGGTGCTGGGAATTGAACCCTAGACCTTTGGAAGAACAGCCAGTGCTCTCAGCCACTGAGCAATCTCTTCAGCTCCAGGATTTGGATATTTTATAAATTGAATTTCATTGCAAGAAATCTGGACCTAAGCAAAACTTTCCTTGTCATTCATACCTCAAAGTCCACATCGCCAAAACAGCCACATGTTGCACAGGGACCAACAATTTTCAAAATATCTTCTTTGTTTGCATTTTGGATTGTGAATTTGGGTTGAAAGGGGTCCCACTTTTGTGCGACATAACCAACTATAGTACCAGGAGGAGCTTGGATTTCTAGCTGTAAGAGAAAATAGTAACAAAATGAGATTTTTAAAAAGCTTATTGTGCATTAACCACATAAGAATGTCAGCTTACATCTACTCAATATTTATTATGAAATCATTGATGTATTATAAGAGTCATTATAAATATATTTTAGGATGAAAATTGTTGTTTTGACATTTTGTATTTTATTATGAAAAGATAAGAATTCATTACTCTGATATCTTTGGCACTGCCCTCTAAATGCTTTGGTGTCCTTGCACAGTTGTCATTCCATCTCACCTGTGACAGTGAGTTAATTATAACTTTTAAGCATGGACAAAGTCAGTAACTACTTTTCAGTTGTAGCCACAACACAGATCTATTTTAACCTCTTTTACCCATTGTTGAATGTTCACATTCATCATTTCAGATATTATTTTAGCATTTGAATGTAAACCAAACAAAATCCTTTTGTAAGAGACTTGGAGATGGGGCAAATAGAAAATGCTTCTTTTGAAGTAATTCAGTTCTCTACCTATTTATATCATTTTTACCCCATGATAAGTTTATCATCTTGTGTATACATATTTCTACAGTGGTCTTGGATAGACTATATATGTGTGTGTGCATTTTGACTATATATACTATATTATATATAGTATATTTTGAATATATATATGTATATCTATTTAGGATACAAAGCGGTGTTTTCTTTTGACATTTTGTATTTTGTCTTGGAAATGCTAAGGATTCCATTGTACTGATATGCTTAGCATTTCCCCAGATTTTATATATTCACATATATGTATTCATATACTCATATATATGTGACATACACATATAGTCATATATAGCATATGTCATATATATGACATATTATATGTCATAGTCATACATATGCATATATATGGACAAAATACACAAATTCACTCTTTCCCACATATGCTTTAACTCCCTGTGAATCAATCTTTTCAAACATATGTGTGTCTATATGTATGTGTATATAATGTCTTTAATCTCAGAACACATACACACATGCATATATATATATATGTATATATATATAATCTGCAAAATAGAGAATGAAACAATATTCTAGTTCACAGAAAGTTATTGTTAGTTCTATTAAAATGACATTCAATTATTTTTTAAAATAAAATAATTGAGAACGTCACTCTATTGCATACAATGGGTTTATTGAATGTGCAAATAGTGTTATTCTGAGAAGTATAATACCAAGGGAAGGTAACATCTTAGAAGAGGTTATGTGTCATGGCACTTCCTGGGCATTGCTACTGTCAGAGAAGAAGACAGCATTTGTGTAGTGGGAACCTGTAGATGTCACAATTACTTGGTTAATGTGATAGTTCAGGAAGCTATGTCTCATTTATAGGATGCATGCACTCCCTTTACTGTTTAATCTAATGCAAGCTGCCATAGTTATGGGTTACAAATGGAAGAAGTGCTTCACCAAATTTTCATGTTTTCCTTATCATAAAAGGGAAGATATAAATTCAAACAACTGATAGGTTGACTGTCTCATAGCTCCAGATGAATGTCACTTGAAGGAATGATCTTAAAAAGGAAAGATGCTCAGAGGCAGTGACCAACCTCTTGTAGGTAGCAAGGGCACCAGCAGCTGTTACACCTTAGGGGCCTGTTCACTGTAATCACCTCTCGACCCGAGTTGTCTGTGATCCTCAGGGTGCAGGCTCTCAGTGTGGAACACACATTACGATTAAAACAGATGCTTTCCTCCACCGCAAAGTAAATTCTTTGTCCCAAGCTGTTTTTGATCTCATATTTGTTGGAGGTCTCAGTGCCGAGAATCACTATTGGAAAACACATATTATGAAGACATGCTGTGATTGTGATCACCACGTGTCAAAAAGTAAAGGAGTATTATGAGAACATAGAGTTGTTGCAGAATTACTGGGCTTATAGTCTCATCTTCACACAGGTCTCTGTCAATGCTCTGAACTTCGAAGACTTAGCCTCAGATGTCAAAGCAAGATCCAAGAACAAAACTAACAACTTAACTAATTTTTATTCTAGAACTACGAACAAATATGTTGTGACAACTTTCAACCAAAGAACAGATTGTATAAGGGAGTATATATTATTCATTCTTCTGCAAGTTATTTGGACAATTTACAGTGGTATTTTTTGCTGTATCTAAAATTATTTTTAGCTTCCACAGTAGTGGTACTGGCCAGATTCTTCAATTCTGACATATTCTGAAGTAATATAGAATCTTATAGAGAACACTCAAGCAATTTGAAATTATTAATCATACTCACATAGCTGATAAATTGTGTGCCTATTTTATTGAGTCAATTGCGAAGCAATAAAGTGATAGCATTTGTGTTGATTAAATTTTAATATGTTCTCAACTGTGATTTCCCTTTCTCAGAATGTTAAGAAATTTCAATGATTAATATCCATGGGATATTAATTACTGCTTGTCACTTTAAGATTAATTTTATTAGATTTGGATGTCACTCTTATGAAAGACACTTATACTAAAAGTTGTGCTTAAATTAATACATTTAATTTTGGTTTAAAAAATAGGTCAAGCAATCATCTGATCTCCCTAGCCATTGTTTATAACATTTTAGTTGTAAAGACACTTGTGGACAGTAAAGTCTTTTCAGAGGTTTTAATAAATGCATAATCTAATGTACTTACTCCCAAGAAGTTCCACTTGCTGATGGATGATTATCAGGTCCAACTGCAAAGGACAATACAAAGGGAATGAAAGCCATTCCGTCACAGCCCTTACTATGCAGCATGAAGTCTTTCATTGTCATTAAAAAAGTTTCTAACACTCACAATTTATAAGTAAAGAATTAGCCACAGGAATCTGAGAAGAAAATTATTTAATTGTTATTCTAAATATATGAATCAATGTACTATGTTTCAACTAAAGAACACAATTTGTAAGGAAGAATTTATTATTCAAATAATAACTATGTAATTACTCTATAAGGTGATGTCTCACTGACAGGATGCATGACCTGTCTTCACCAAATGTTATTGTTCAGCTAATAGTTTATAGAACTCTTAAAATCCCAAGTCAGAATTGCCAAGAGCTAGAAAAGCAACAGTGTTTGCGCTAACCCTGATAATGAGAAAAAGAAGTGATACATCAAACAGTATTATTTTTAGGATATTTCAAAATGACCTCTAAATAATAAAGTAGAAGATATTTTAAAATGTCTGGTGAGGAAATGAAGACACAGGATGAGTATTGGATATACAGCTTCTTCCAGTGCACATGTATCCACTGTTCAACCTGGAAGATGACTGCTCCATCCCACAGTAGATGGGAACAAATATAGAAGAGACCCATGGCCAGATATTACGCAGAGAGTGAGAGATCTCCCAGCACTCAAGCCTAAATGGATGTCTTCATCAAATCCCTCTCCTCAGGGCTCAGGAAAACCTACTGAAGAGGAGGCAGAGCTAGTCTAAGAGTAAGAGGGAGTGGATTACACCAAGAAAACAAGGCCCTGTAAATCAACATGCTCAAAACCCTATGAACTCACAGAGACTGAGGCACCATACCCAGGGCCTGCATGGGTCTGCACCAGATGGTGCCCTAGAATGGAAAGGAGAGCTAGACACATGCCTCCCATTCCTAACCCAGAAGCCAACTGATAATTACTTGCAAATGAAAATCTAATTTCCTTCAAGGGAATCTCACTGGGGAAACAAAGTACTCTTAATGTTAGGATGCATGCCTGGCAGAAGATGGCCAAAGAAAATGAACTCATTGACATCTTTGGAGGTTCCTTGACGCACAATGTCAAGGCTTTTCATTTAAAAATATATTTTTTAAATTTTTATTATATATACATATATATATATATATATATATATGTGTGTGTGTGTGTGTGTGTGTGTGTGTGTGTGTGTGTGTGTGTGTGTGTGTGTGTGTGTTTCATTTTCATTCTCTCTTTTTAACCCTACAATCCCATATGGTTTCCTGTTTAGTGTTTTCAGGGGATTCCTGAGTGTGTGAATGAGTGGGTCTGTGTTTCTTGTGCCTTTTCTGGGCTCTTTTCCTTTTGTTTGTTTTGTCCAATTCCTATTGTTAATTTTTGTTTCATCTTATCTATTCCTTAGAAGCCTGTTCGTTTTCTAGTGACAGACAGAAAGAGGGTGGATCTGGAAGGGAGGGGAAGTTGGGTAAGACATTGATGAGTAGACGATGGGGAAAATGTAATCAGGACATATGATGTGAAGAAAAGTTACATTTTCAATAAAGGGAAAGCACTCAACACAGACAAAGTCATTTAACAGGCGTTCTCTTACAGAATACATGAAATACTTTTGAAATCCCCACTCATCTTTTTATACGTACATAGCTTCAAGTAAACCCACATTCCATGAGTACAAAATGAGTAAGTTATTCCCTTTAGAAGTAAAAGTGTTAACAATTTATAGAATATTTTGTTTTCTGAAAAAATATTAGCAAAGGAATGTTTTTAGAAAATGTGCTACATTTAGAACGGAAGCTCCTGAGTTCTTATGTCTGTTTATTGAAGGTTGGAACACGCTTCACGTCAAGCATCTGGCCATGGTGTGTCATCATTCATGAGTGGAAGAGGAATATGTGATGACCATATGTGACCATCAAACCTCAGCCCTCTGGCGCTGGTATATCACTTTTATATTTGGCAAAACCTTGTCTGACAACACTCCCAAACAGCTTGCAGCAGTTAATCAACTCTAGTCAGCTATTACAGCTGATCCTTTTTGCAGATGGAAGATGGTAGGTTAGTTTTTCCAGCTCCTTTTGGTAGCTCCCTAAGCTCGCCAGTCTCTATAGAACATTTGTCTGCCAGTGGGTTTCTGGGGAAGGCATCTGCAATTATAAACATTTTCCCAGGAACATATGCTGCATGCAGCTTAAACCCTATCAGGCATAGCAGAAATCTCTTGTACCTTAAGGGAATTAATACAGAGATTTGATTTTGATAAAAGAGATAGACTTTATGTTTGAAGGAATGCCAAACAAGGGAGCCTGGCAGCAGATGTGCTGACATCTCAATATTAGTGTTGGAGTCTTTCTAATATTGTGTAGGATAATGTGCTAAAACAAAAATAATACATCCATATACAAACAGCAATTTTCATTTACTTGTCACATGACAAAGTTTTACAAGGCTTGAAGTGCTGTCCATCCTGCCATAACTATAACAGCAACAGTACCTAATTAGTAGTGTGATATGATCATTCCGGGAGGTTGGCCTGGGGTAAGATGGTAATATGGCTGTGCTAACTCTTTTTCCCTTGGACTTTCACATTGCTTTTTGAGAGATCTGTTGAAAAGTTTCAACTCCTTACAAAACTCTCCAGGACTGCCTTCTCCCTTAAAGATGCGTGTTTTCCTGACTCCCATGTCATGCTTTACACTTTTAAATCAACATTTTTGTTTGATCATTAACTAATACAATGTTTGAGTGACAGGGGCAATGCTTTATGCTTCCTTCTTATGTGCCTTGAATATGTTAGTGCTCAATTAATGTTTAATTAATAGCTGTAGGTGGCCTAGTCTGGTAATTCCTTGAGAATATCTCCACACCTTGAGCAATGAACAAACAGAAGGTAGATAAACGTGCTAAATGGCAAAGTCAAAACTATTTAGTCTTGTCACTCTGTCAAGTAAATAAGAGTAGGTGGCAATGGTATGGAATAAAGTTCTACCTAAATACCAAAAATAAATGAAGTCAGTACTTTATAACTTTATGATTTATAATACATTCTGTACTCTGTTAAATTATTGGTTGAAAAACAAGAAGCTGAATTTGAATTGCTTTTAAAGGGAACACAAGAGTAGAAATGGAAAGGCATGCAAACCTGGCTTAAATATTCTAGACCAGGGGGGAGACTGACTGTTGGCAGGAAACTACTTGGCTGAGGTTCATCAGGTTGCTGTCTTGCTTGTTTCCTGGGATGGGAAGAAGCTGTTCGAGAGGGTTGATCTGGGTTTGTGGCTCCAGGAAGAAATCCAGGCAGACTTCCAGGCTTTTGATTCTGTGAATCTGTAAGAGAATGATTATCTTTATGTGTCTTAAAATTTAAGTTGCTTTTCCTTCCTTCCTTCTTTTCTTCAATCCTTCCTTCCTTCTTTTCTTTTTCTTTTTGATTTAGATAGAAGTTTGTTCCTTGATAGATTTCTGTCTCATTTTAGTGCATTTCCTTTGTTTTTACTGCTCGATACCACACTGCTTGACTTCTCAGCCAGAAAAAAGGAAGGTAGAAGAATGCTGGTAGTTGTGAGACAAAGTTGAATAACTTGGTTTAAATAGTTGGCATGGATATACACTGCATATATAAATATGTTTGTGTATAACTGCAAGGTAACACCTGTTCAAAAAGATGGAGAATCATAGACTATGAAAGCAAAATAACTGGGAATAGACCCTAGATAGCCTGTACTCATAAAAAAAATAGCCTTAGTCTTGAATTTTTCCTTGGAATTTAAGCCATAGTTTCCTTTTCTTTGAGTGTTATGGGTCTACCTTGAACTTTATGAAGTTACTCCATCTGATTTATTAGTCATAATATTATTGCCCACTTTAATTTTTAAAAAAAATCTCCTATTTCAGCCTTCATCAGAACCACCTGTAGTGGGGACCTGTCAAAATAGGTGTTGGGCCTCTCTCCAGTTATTGATTCAGAAATTGGGGTGGTAGGCTTGCAATGTTTCATTTTGATAAGATCTCAGATAATGCCAATTGTCCTAATGATAGGAGGACATCCTCTGAAAACTCACTGTTAAACTGAGTAAGCTAAAAGAGGCTCATACTTTATCTGTGCCTTAGCATAATTACAGAGTTATATAAGGTCACTTTGCTAGTTTAGAGATATCAACTGATATCAACATTAATGTCGAGTAAATATGCTTCCATTTCAGTCACAGTCATCCCACATTGAACTCTAGGTTTCTTATTTATTATGCATTAGTTCTGTGTAATATTAATGCATAAGCCCTAGGCAGGAAAATCTTTATCCAAAATTTTAAATAATAGCTTTCTATTAGTTTCCCTATTTCATTCTCATAAATATCATTGCATTATTTCCCTCATAGGATGCTAAGTTTTTTTCTATAGACTACTGATGGTCATGCTTCTCACCCTCATAGAATGTCAAGGCTCCTTTTTAAAAAAATGTGAATAAATTTAAGCGGTTTATCAATGATGCATGGCTTTAACTTAGCTGTTGGTTCACAAGAAAGTGAATGTCCAAGTTTTATTTTTTTAAACTATAATAGGGTTCATCATGTAAAGCAAGCACATTTAAGCATCACATTGCTTAACAACATTAACATTATTTGAGAATGTATCAATCATTAGGTGATTTCACTGATGTGTGAAGATCATGGAGTTTATTTAAGAGTTAAACGGACTCTAGCATTATTAGGCAACAGAATATTATGACCCATGGTCTTTGTGGTCCATCATACACTGAGATGTTGTTAAGTAACATGAATGGGTAAAAGGAATTGGTTCTGGATTGATACAAAGAAGAAATTTATAACTGCTGTGTAAGTTTTGAGCAATTGCTTTCATTGAACATATAGTAAGATTTGGGGTGCTATATAAATACTTAATATAAATTATAATGGTCTAATTTCTGTAAGAATACCCAGATTTATGAAAAATTTTGTGTGTTTGAGGTACTTTTCTGTATCTTGCAATCACAAATACAGTTTAAAAATGTACTGGCATTCTTTCTAAGACAATAAACTCCCATCATTAAGAAACACAAGCATAGTCTGAACAGGGATGAAAGAACACGGATGAATGGCCCTTTGGACAAAGGAATAAATTGATTCTAGTAATGACAAGCTTGTTAAGCTTGTGCATACAGGAAGTGTTAATGAGGGGCAATTGCCAGATGACTCATTTATTTATTTACCCCTCAGGTTGTGGGAACTGGCTGGATTTATATTAATATTGATGTCAGTTGCTAAGTTTGAATTTATCTGTGGCATATGAGATCTGTACAGGACTTGCTTTAAGAGTAAATAAATGAAGAAACTTGTTCTTTGACCCCTTTGTAATAGAGCTTGTAAGTGATAAGGCTGCAGTAGTTGGCTTCCCACAAGTTCCTCCAGAACCGTTCTGACCACAGGAATAGACACAATGGAAGGAGATAACCACTCTTGTTCTTAGGAGAAGACACTGAAAGGGAATTCCAAGGGGGAGCCTCAATACCAGGAAGACTATCTAAAACTGTCTTAAAATCTGAGGGGAGCTACGGGTCATAAGAGCAACAGCTGGAAAACAGTGAATGCAACCAACACCTCTTCCAACATTAGTGCTAATAACAACTATCATCATTATTTTGCAGAAGACAAAACCAAACAAGTGGCAAAATCATGATCAAGAAAATATAGGTCACAAACAGAATGTATGATAGTAGTTTATGTGGGTATGGAGTTGTGTGATTATTGGCCAGAAAGGGAACATTGTCAGCTGCTGAAAGCATTACCTATCTTGCTCTTGGTAGTGGTCATATGAGTGTATCTGTTTTAAAAAATCATGAGAACTATGTTTGGTGCAAAATTGTGCAAAACTCCATAATAAGAATATGGTTAATTAATAACAAAAGTTGCTTCAATATTGGTAAATTACCCCAAGTTTATCTTATAAACTATGCTGCTTTATCACACCACAGTAGGTTATTAAATGTCTGGAAAGGGGCTTCAGATCCCTGACCTGGGCTGCTAGGTTTCTGACCTAACAGCAGGTCCAGAGGATACCTTTCCATGCATTTATTTTTACCAAGTAAAGGGCTTCCAGATGATTTACATTTCTTTGGATCTACAGCATCCGGTTCAGGATGTCTTGGACTTGTCTATAAAATGCCCCATTATCTGGAGTCTCTGAGAAGATACTGCCCTACAATACAGTTTCATAGGCAAAAGACCAATATGAAGTTACAGCCGTATCTTAAAATATTTTTCAAAACTTACCCTCAAACATATTTTAGATAAAAATGAGATAAGGTGATTTCTCAAACATGATTTACTATTTAGATAATAAATACATTCCTGTCACTATGATTTTATAATAAATGTTTATTCAAGACATGGGCTAAATGTTTTTAGCTGGCCATTGGGATGTTTGTTTGGATCTTAAAGTTTGTCTCTAGGTTTAGTGTATCTTTAATTCACAAATCCAGTCGTTTTCATTACTGAACCTCATGTCTTTTTGGCAGATTAATCATAATATTGCTTTCCAGTCACATTTTCTTCAAAGACCCAGACCACCAGATGAATAAGAAACCCCTTTGAATTGCTATCTGGCTTTGAATTTCTATCTACTCTTTTAAAAATGTATAACTAAACCATAAATATTTTACACACTCTGCAACTCTTCCCCTTCCAGGCCACTCGGTTGCTGCTCTTAATTTATAAAATGAGAAGCAGTTGTACAGTGTCAGTGTCAGTCTTCAGGAAATGTTTGTCAAGGTTTGTGTTTATTTGTCTTCAAATAGAGACCATATTAAAATTCAATATTTTTCTCTTTCTGATATAATTTATAATCTGTTGATAAGCTTTCTCAAGGATTCTCAGGCCTACATTAAATAAGAACAAAAATACAAAGAATACTTGATTGGTTTAATGGATGTTAGAAATATGTTTATGAAGCAAACAAAAATGTATTCAGATTATTTGGAATGAATCATCTATTTAAATAATTTGCATTTGTAGAATTATCTGATTTGTAACTAGTTTTAAATGCTTCCCTAAATTTCACCAACCAAATTTCTTCATTCTGCAACATAGTGTAGAGTTTAATAGTGATTTGTTTTGATAATTGAATAAAAATGGATTATAATTTCATTTTTAGAAATATTTTACTGTGACTGTATATTATTCCCCCTGACAAAACCTTCTCTCTCATCTTTTGAATCTGTCTTAATTAAAACAGTTGTTTCAACAGTTTTAGGGTTCTGAGTGAAAGCCTACCCTTTTCTGCCAATGTTCCTAATAGATCTGCTTGTCTAAATTGGATACTTTGATCACTTTGATTGATTTTTATGCTGAATTTACTACCAAGTATTTATAAAATATTTTAAGTTTATAAGGCAAAATATTTCGCCCTACTGCATTAAATTGAGGCTGCACTGATGTTCTGTTCTTCATTGGGCTGTGAGCTACATGGTTTTGAACAACAAATGAGCAACTACAAATGTTTGAGTAGCATTTTTAGATGCCTATGTGGAATCTTTCTTACAGATTCACTTACACTTGGAATTTCATCCCATTGCTGTGTTTAAGTTAAATACCCCCACCCTCAATTTTACTTTACTGCTTTTCTTACAAATTTTCTAAGTTTACATTCACTGCAAACAAAAGCACATTTTGCATCTGAATGTTTTATATTCTTTTGGCTAAAATGAGTGTGTGTACTTTCAGTTAGCACAAAGTCATCCTTGGAGTAAAATAATTCAAATGCTAGTGTCCAAGAGCAATAAATAACAGCTTTTCAAGTACCAACCTCACTGGTTATAATATTTCAATAGCCATGCACTTGTCACTATAAAATATATGAGGGCACATTTAGTTGCTGGCTAGCTCTACCCTTACCTTTAGAGGCCATGGCAGTCTGAGTACCTCTTCAAAGGCAGCCAGGTGAAAAGGCTTTTCCTGTTTCAACACGGAGAGAGCAGAATGAATAAAGCTCCGGACACTCGCTGTTTGCCTCATGTCAGCTTACAGACAACAGAAACATGGTGCCTCGCTGGTTCTAGAGTGTTTGATTTTTATCTGGTCAGAGAATAGGGCGAGATGAAGTCATCACCCAAAGTAAAAGACCTCCTTGGAAAAAGTCATATAACTGGGTGGCTGAAAGAGCTACTTAGAAATAGCAAAGAGAAGGGAAATCACATTTATGTGCTGCCACTTAGGTGTGTGATACGTTCTGGCATCAGATGTGGTCTGTTAGTTCTCAGGGTCAGAGGCTGTGTAAGTCATCCTATCACTTGAAAGACTGTCATGGATGGAAACAGTTCTTTAGAAGTTCAAATGTCTGAGCCACCTTCTTCCTTATTTTGTCATGTGATTTCTGTCCAACCCACACCTCACAAACAAACAAACCAGAAGACGATGTTTTCTCTATCTCTTCTGCACATAAATAATTCTTTATTTTCAGGTGTAAATTAAATGTGATTCATTGCAGGAATTGGGAAACACAAAGTGTTACAGAGCTAAGCAAAGCCTCCAGATATTTCCCTCATCAAGCACTGAAAGTGGAATTTCAACCTTAAAGAGTCATCTTCTGTGACATGGTGGACTTTGGGGAGCTCCCATCCAGGGCCCTACCCTCCCTGGGGAATGGAGGGGGGATAGAGTGGGGAGCAGGTGTGGGGTTGGGGGAAGACTGGGGGAGGATGGAAAAGGGATTGACATGTGAAGCAAGCTTGTTCCTAATTTGAACTAATAAAAAATTGTAAAAAAAAAAAGGAGTCATCTTCTGTTGTAAGTGCAGCTTCCGAGGAGGATGTGGGGCTTTGCTCACCCACCCAGCCTGGATGCTATAGTACAGGATACATTTCGGCACTGTCTACGCTAAAAACAGTACAGTTGCCCAGGAAGGAATAGGAACAAAAAAACTGAAAGTTTAACAGTGTACATATTAAAAGTATAGATTTTCTTAGTTGACAGGTAACTTTCTGTTAAGTTTGAGCCTGAACACAACTGTTTTATTTAAGCTTTCATTCCCCAGAAAAGCTATATTTGCATTCTAAAAAAAAACTAAACTCCATAAATTGTATTGACAAATGCAAAATAAAAGGCCATCTAAAGAAGTTAAGTTACACTATCCAACAGAGTGTTTTAAATTGTGATCATAACTGGACAGTAATTTCTACTATCCTATAGAACAGTAAGTTTGAAATGAAAAGAAAAACATGATTAGACATTTGACCTGTAGAGGGCATACCATCCCTGCAATTGCATACGGTCATGTGACTGACAGCTGGGCTCTTTATGCCATGCTCTGCAACCTGGCTTTTTTACTTGCTCTAAGGTGGTATGGCTAATTTGATGTGTGTCACTGCCTACTTCTCCTGTACATTCTCTCTGCACAGCCAACCACAACGTCAGTATTGTTTTCCTCTTTTCAGATGCCCCTTACGAGCCTCGGGACTCCCTTCTCTGCTCTTTTCTGACTGATATTTTTTCTCAAGGAGAGGCATGGGCTCCTCTTTCCTGAAGTTCAGATGTTTCACGCATGCTAACAGTTTCAAGTATCCTAATAATCGATACCTGTTGCTTTGGGCTCTGCAGAGAGTCTCTTTCTGTAGGTAGGAGCTGCTGTTCAACTTCACCTTCATCGTGACAGTGTTGTGCTCATGGTAGAACCAAGGGCCCCATTATTTTTCAAGATGGCCACACCCTCCACCAGGGGCAGCCGCTTCTCTTGCTATGGTGATGCACTTTTCCCATCCCCCAAATTTTTTCCATTAAGCAGAGCTATTAAAAGGTGAGCATGACTAACAAAAAAGGCAACAGCAACAAAAGAAACCGTCATAATAGAGGAAATATTACCAAGTAGGAAAATCAAATATTGAGCTTGAAGAAAAACAAACAAACAATACAAAACAACAACAAAAACCCCAAACAACCTTGAAAACAAATATCTGAAAGCATAGGGTTGTGGCCTTGCCCCTCCCCTGTTATTTCTTGACTGGCTAGTTTGAGGCAAGCAAGTGCAGAGAATAGCTTAGCCATCTTAAATTCTGCTTGACTTGGACTATACTCATATCCCTCTAATCATGACATACTTGTCTGCGCAGGCTGTGTGCATAATTCTCATTCCTGTATACCTGTAAACAACATAAGACTCCCACTTGCATTACGCCACACACACACACACCACACTATGAACAATGGAGTCAATTTCTCCTTCTCCCAGTGATCACCAAACTTGGACTGTTTCCTCTTCAAAGGTTATTTCCAATACTTCCTAGAAGTGCCAATCCTGCCTGAACTGGTCTTTGATGCAGACATAATGAGGCAAAACTCTGTGTCCTCAAATGGATATTTGTGGAGAATCCTCATTTTACCATGTTAAGCATAATTGCATGTGACTATAGTTAAAATCAGATGCATTATGGGAAAGGGCATGTTCAGTGGGCAAAGGCTTACGCTATTTCCTACTAGTTAAAATGGAGATCCACACAAACTCTGTTATTTAGTAATCAGCCATTCTTTCTCTCAAAACTGGTAAAAGGAAGTTGTAAACAATAACCGGTCCGTTTAAATACCCTCACTCATGTGACCTGCTGCAAATTTTTATGTTTATTCATTTTATTGACTTGTTTATTTATAGTATGTGTGTGTCCATGCCCATATGCCCACATGCACCTATACTTTGGCACAAATGAAGGTCAAAGGGCAACTTGTGGTGGCAAGCACCTTGATTTACTGAGCCATCTTGTCAGGTCATTTATTTTGTCTTTTGAAAGACCCCGCCCCTTGGCTCGTTCTCTCTCTCTCGGTGACACTCCCGTACGCGCGCGCACCCACACGCCTGGCAGCTGGCTCCCTCCCAAGCAGGTTCACCCAGGCGGGGCGACCCAGGCCCGCCCGCCTGGCGCCGCGCCCCGGGGCTGGGGCTGAGCAACGAGCACCAGGTGGGCCGGCACGAGAACGAACACCAAGTGAGCCGGCCTGGAGCCCTGCCCCTGAGCCCCGCCCGACTTTGAACCATCCAATAGAAATGACTCTGTACTTTACCTCATTTGAATGACTCTGTATTTCACCTCATTTGAATAACTCTGTACTTCGCCTCATTTGAATAACCCTGTATAGCGCCTCATTTACATTGACCAATGGGAATAGCTCTGTACAATGCCTCATTAGAATTATCCAATAGGATCCCTGCTTCTAGCTTGCGCCTTTTTCCCTATATAAGGACCCCTTTCCCTTGGCTCGGCTCGCTTAGCCACACAGAAGCTAAGTCGCCCCGGGTACCCGAGTCTCCAATAAAGCCTCTTGCTTTTGCATCCAAGTTCGTGGTCTCGCTGATTCCTGGGTGCGGGTCTCCTTCTACGAAAGTACCTCTTCGGGGGTCTTTCATTTTGAATAGTTTTCTTGCTACTTAGGGAAATCTGTGTGAATGTTTATTTCAGTTCTTTAAGTAAGAAACCAAAACCAGGAAACATGTGGCCCAGTCTCTGATTGCCTATCACGTTTTTTTTTTTTTTTCCCCATGAGCCTTTGGTTTGCAACTTCCTTGTGTGAAATTGTTCTCCACTCATGACACTCAGTCTTGTCTGTTCTTTCTGTCTGTTCCCATGTCCTCTGTTTCAGCCAAAAGAACACAGAAAAAATTACAATATACCCCCTGCACCATTATCTTCTGCCCATGGCCCATTCAAGAATATATTATGGATGCTTTGTCATGCTGTTCATTCAATAATAAATCCCTGTTAAGAACATGGCATGTTATTTAATGGTTATATATTTGAAATACATTTTCAGTTGAGAGACTCATCAAAACAGTATCTTTTGATACCAGGGGAGAGAATATTTATTTAAATCTGTATAGTAACAGGCCAGGCTGTGGGGGCACACGAATTAATTCCAGCACTCAGGAGGCAGAGGCAGGCGGATCTCTGTGAGTTTGAGGACAGTGTGGTCTACAAAGCGAGTTCCATGAAAGCCAGAACTATTACACAGAGAAACCCAGTCTAGAAAAAAAAAAAACCAAAAAATCTATATAGTAACAGAGAAAAATACTATGCATTACAACACAAACAACAACAAGAAAAATACCTCTGATGTTCTCCAAATCATATGTGCCAAAAAAGATGAGGAATATGGAAATAAGATGACAGATTTTCTAGAACCTGGGAGAGAAGTTTGGGAAGAGCTGGCTATTGCAATACATCATTAGGATTGCTTTCTGTCTCTGGTTTTACCATGAAACGCACATGCATTTAAAAATCATGTATATACATGTAAACACAGGTATATTTATATGTGTACTTCTACAATACTTGTATAAACACAAACACATCCACATGCATATAGACACAATATAAACCGTCACTTATTTTTCTTGGTTTTAAAAAATTATCATTTCCTATATAATAATTGCAGTTTATTAAGTTTTGGCTATGGTCCTTTTCGCAGACAATGCTGTCTCCATTGTTCAAGCAGTGGTTCTATATACATGTCCTTCTCTTGTATTATAATATGTAGAAATAAAATTGCTTGTATGGAGTATGAAAATCTGTATGTTTACTAAGTACTTATAACAAATTATCATCCGTATGAGAATGGCTAGGAGTTCTCATTTCCACACATTCTTTTCAATACAAACTTGATCAATGTAGTGAGGGATTAACTAGGGGATTTACACGTGTTAATGTGTGAGGAGGTAGTACTCAAAGGTCTTAATTATATCATCTAAGAAATACTTAAGAAATGTAAACTGGGTGGTGGTGGTGGTGGTGGTGGTGGTGGTGGTGGTGGTCCATGCCTTTAATCCCAGCACTTGGGAGGCAGAGGCAAGTGGATCTCTGTGAGATTGAGGCCAGAATGGCTTACAGAGCAAGTTCCAGGACAATCAGGGCTGTTAAACAAAGAAAC